AATATGACCCCTTTGCCCAACCTATCACAACTTAATCAAGAGCATAAACACTTACCTTACTATGGAGGGTATAGTCAAGTAGTCAGGAGGAAGTCATGAAATCTTATATTTGGCTAACTGACTCTCATAAAAAACATGAATCGAGCCAGATACCCTACAAAGTGGTACTTCCTCCCACATACTTTGGCACTTTTGCCTTGGCTTTACTTTGGCAATTTTGCCTTGGCTTCCCTCCAAATGCACCCAATGATATTTGTGTAAGCATTTGTTTTGGGGTCTAGAAAATTAATAGACTGATAGACCATGAGGTGCTTGTATCCTTTTTCCGTTAATCCTTACGGCATGGATGCACTAAGTAGGGCAATTTGAATATGATATTCTTGTAGAGGGCAAAATGTTGCATTTGTCTGTACAAGAAATAATCTGCAGATCCGAACAGTAGCGCCACAAACAGAGGAAAAAAATTGTGGAAAGCGCCACTCTCAGCCAAAGTCAACTTGGTGCTGCCTTGGTTCAGCTCTATTTTGCTATGCACGCCAAGATGAAAACAATGTTTCTCAGGGGGGAACCTTCCCCTCAGGCAGATATCCAGTCACAGTAACTTTGAATGATGAATAAATTTTTTGACTTGAAGTTGGGGACTTAGTCTCTGGCGAGTGTGTCCATAGTGTAAAAAAATACCCCCTTTTCTTCCAGGCAATTATATACACACCAACAGTTGCTTATAATGATTGTGCCTGGTTAGATTTTTTCTTTTATTATTGTTACTAGGGTGTCAGCATCCTGGGATTCCACTGGCACTAGGAAAAAACTGCCAAGTTTATGGAAGGTCCCCCCAGATACCCTCTGACCTTCCACCAACCTTCCCACATTAAATTTCCTTTTCCTAATTTACCTTCATCAATTTCAATGACCTCACTGTCTCCACAAATTTCTTTAGATTGGTCTTGCAAGCACCAAACAGCACTTCCCCACAAAAACTTGTCCAGTCACAATTGATTTATTAGACAAAATGAATTCATCTCTAGCTCTTGCATAAGAGAAATATTCCTACAAATAAAAATTCACAAACTTTAAATTGGTTTCCAAATCTATTTTTGCATGGTCAAACCAGGTGTTTTTGAATATTGTTCTGATAAATTGACACCATACTATTCAGTTGTTCACCTTTTCACACGTCACATTTAAAACTCTTTTCTTCACATCTAATTGACAGTTACGATGACACCTTTAACATTTGAAAGTTTTCAAAATTCAATTGTGCTCTTGGTACAGTGGAATCAGTCCTGTAGTAACACTATATTTGTGAAAAAATCACCAAACCAGAATCACAAATGTGACAGAAACACCGTTCCAGGAAGAAAGAATGACCTGGGTTGTGAACCCTTAAAAGCTGGGTCAGGATCTTGTTCAGAGGCAGTCATTAAAGGTGGTAATCTAAGGTATTTCTGGTGATTATGTTTATGGACAGATTACGTATATGAAAATACAATATAAAATAAACTTTACAATACAATATGAAAGAAATCATATCTGGTAATATGAAATAGCTAGGAAATACTAGTAGTAGCTATTATGACATAAATAGTAGTGACGTCACATGACGTACATGTGTAGTCTGAGGGAAGTTGCTGTGAAAGCTGTGTGAGAACTAATACTCATATGTGATTTTTCGACTCTGAGCATAGACGTGTTTCACGTGCAGGGACTTAAAATTTTCCATATCTTAGTGCTATAATAAAAATGTAATATGCAAAAAACAAATAAACATAAAATTTGAATACTGATGTATTAAAAGCATTATGGGCAAAGTAATATTAAATTAATAACTGATGATAAAAGTATATGAATCTGTACTCATGCAGCTACATACTATAATACAGTGGCTTCTATGCTTTATGCTCTGCACAAATGCAAACACACAACAGAATTAATTCGGTGCTCCTGTAGCTGCAAAGACAGAGCGTTTCATTTAAGTAAAGACAACGAGATGAATCATGACAAGTATGACACGTTCTAATAGTGATAATGATTGGAAACTTCTGATCCAGACAGTTAAATCAGGAATTTGTGGAACTTAATATATGTACCTGCACACTGATACTTATCACATGTGCATTCCTAAGAAAAATATTTGTTATCAGCCACAGTTTGCAAACTTTCTAATCTGACATGACAGAACCTATAGACATTTATGAGATTTTTTTGTCATTCCCCGAGAAGGGACGGATCCATGCTCTATCTTGCCGTAAGGGTAATATAGCTGGGGGAGGCCAAAGAAAAGAAAAGTGAGATAGCAGCCCTTACCAACTGCATTAAGAACGGCAGTAATGATCCAGCACTGCCAAGAATACTTGTGATGAGAAACAGATACATCTCTGACGTCAGCTCCATCATTATAAGAAGTAAAACCTAAACTAAGACAACAAAATATATAGCGCAAGCAGCATTAGCGTGTTTGTCGTCTTCAGAATTGCAGGGACCGTGAGTGTAAATGTTT